TAATGAGCAATAATGCCAGATAGGAAATACCTTCTTTTGAGTTGTTGGCCAGGGTGGCCAAAGGGATTCCCAGGTAGTAACCCAGCATAGAACTGGGAAAATGAGCAGCAGACCCTTATCTTATCCAAGGGAATATTGACAACTGCTTACCGCTAGATGTGGAACAGCTGACCCTCCTAAAACAAAGACCTCTAGATAGGCTGACTAGATTCACCAGATGGACAAGTAGTGGGGAATGACTGGGGGTGCCAACACAGCAGACAGTAGCAGGGATATCAGAGTATAAGGGCTCTAGTGGGGGGAGGGAGGCTATGGGAGGGTGCTATCTGGGAAGTGGGTGTAAAAATAAAAATTTTTAAAAAAGTGGCTGATTAAGGAACTGATTTTTTTTTTTAAAAACAAAACAAAACAAAACAATGTTTTGAGGACTGGAGAGGATTCAGCTGTTAAGAACACATACTGCTCTCACAAGAACCTAGTTCAGCTCCTAGGACCCATGTTGGGCAGCTCACAATTGCCTGCAACTACAGCTCCAGGGAATCTGACACCCTCTTCTAGCTTCACACACACACACACACACACACACACACACACACACACACACACACGTACACACACACACACACACACATGCACACACACAAAATTAAGTCTTAAAAGGATGTTTTGGTGTTGGGGACTGAACCTAAAGCCTCATGTATGCTTCATATGTGTTCTTCCAAGGACCTTGCCCCCTAGCCTAAAAACTGATTTGCAAAACACCAGATTTCCAAGTTTTGGGTCAATAAAATAAAACACTAATTTTCAAAATTGATTACATGTTGAAATAAAAATATGGACACTGTATTAAACATAATTAATTGACCATTTTAACTTGGTTATGAGAAAAGTTAAAAATACAAGACCCACATGTTTCTGTTGGACAGCACTATACTAAGAACATAAATTTTAAAATGTTTAAGATCTGAGTCCCTCATATGTAAAATGTTAGAAGTTGGAGAGTAGGGAGGTAAAGCATTTATTTAAAGACAGCCAATATAGGTACAGGAAGCTGTAGAATCAATGGAGTTATTTCTTTCACTGTCATTGAAACTGAAACCATTTCAAGATTTTTGACTAAAAAAGTCTGTAAATTCCTTTTCCTTATGTTCCAGATAAAATTGTAACATTTATGTTGAGAAAGGTGCATCCACAATTATTGAAGTGACCATGCACATGGAAGGTTAAATACAAGAATGTAGTATATATGTATTCAAACAAACATCCACATGTATTTTTGGCTATGTAAATTTCTCTTATCCCAAATAGTCTAGGTTTTTTGGGTTTTTTTTTTTTTTGTATTTTTGAGACAGGGTCTCCTTGTAGCCCCAGCTGGCCTGGAACTCACGATGTAGACCAGGCTAGCCTCAAACTGCCTCCTGAGTGCTGGGCTTAAAGGCGTGTGCCACCATGCCCAGCCAGTAGTCTAGATTTTTAACTGTCCAAGATAAATGTGATTCTAATTCAGTGCTTTCTCATTCTTGGTGTGGTCTACAGACCACATTTGGAGATCTCACCGAAAGTTTCGGCTTTGAGAAGTCTGAGTTGGAAACAAGAATTCTGCATTTTAAGAAAAGGTTCCCAGGGATTTTATGTGTGCCTCTGTTTCTACTTTAAGGGAAATCTTTTTTTATTCAGTTTATTTATCCACGGATCCAATGTGTCATCACATGAACTTTGAACTGATGCTTGTGATAGAAACCTTCCTTCTGCTGGTTCCTCTCTGCTCCTTTATATTTGCCTTGTCTATGCTCTATCACATCAACAATTTTATGATCCACTAAGAATGAATGTGCTAAGTGAACTATGACACACCATTGCTTTTAACAATAACCCTATCCTGAGACATTAAAATGTAACCCTTATGCATCTCTAATGAAATATGGCACCAGAATCCCCCAGGTTTCCAATTGAGACTCACATTTAAGACTGCCAGTGGGGCTTGTGGCGACTTCATACTCCTTTCCACACCTGAACTCACCGTGGCACTCTCAACAATCCACTAGTTTCTTTTGAATCCTGGATCTTGCTAAGCAACCCAATCCTTAGGTGACAGTGATGCATATAGTTCAGTCCATGTTGGTCTTCAAGAAGTTTCTGCAATTGTTGCTGGTATCAGGATCTTTAAGGCTGTCACTCAAAGGTTGATGTTTCATTGCCAATGTTCTCTTTTAGTAATTTATAAACATTTTGAGGTGAACGGCTAGCTCTAGAATGTGGCTCTCAAGGGCCACTTCCTGCCAGATGTATTGATATATGCCTATAAGCACTTGGGAAATAAAGGCAGTAGGTCCAGTTCAAGGTCATTCTTGGCTACACATCAAGTTTGAGGACAGCCTAGGTTACATTTGTTTGTTTCTACTCCCTGTTTATTATTTTAAAATTGGTTCCTTGTTTAGGGCAAAATATTCCTAATTTGTGCTTCAATGTTTAAATATTCCTTCAGTTGAATCTTTCACTAACGTCATTAGTATCCAGTAACAATGTGCCTTTGAGACCTTCTTATGCTGGAAAAAAATCCACTTGTTTGTATACGCTCAATGTTCTGAGGGCACTGCTTTGTATTTTACCATTTGATCAGAATAAACCCATACTAACATACTAAATATATCACACCCACCTAAAACATTTCTTTATGATCCATTTATGTATGTCTGCAAATGGTTTGATTTGGTGTCTCCACAGACTTAAGACTGAAAAGGAAATAATGAATGTTTCAACAGCACTTTCTACAAAAGAATGCTTTATTCAAAAATAGGATCTTTTCAAAAAGAGAAAACTTTTATATACAGGTACTTGGTTTAGAAACAGTCAAAACCACAATAAAATAAATTGAGATTCAGCAATGATTTGTAACATATACAGTAACGGTGCTTTAACAGTTTGAATGCATCACTCTTTCGTCTCACTGCACTGCAGTAATTACCATTTGTTAGATCTAGTGGTTGGGATTACAGAAAGGTTTTGTCTGAATTCTTTCCTCCTGTACACTAAGGCACCCTCCCACAGCTAGGCAGTGTAAAGTTCAACATGTGATTTTTTTTTCTTAAAAAAAAAAAAAGGTCATTGCTTCTTAAATGGGGGACTCTAGACATTTTCCTATAATGACAATGCTTTTTCAAAGGTCTGAAAAGAAGTGTTTTTTTTCCCTTAATATTTAAAAGTTCTATTGCATGTATTCACAAGCAAAATTGGAGTAATCTTAAAGACAAAACATGTGACTTCAGAGAAATTATAAGGTCATATTCTGGACTATGCTTGGCCTCTACAACAAGGAATTCATTAGCGACAATGGTGAAGCAATGTCCTCGAGACCCTGATTTCTGAGAGGACAGCCAGTTTCTCACTTGAGTTCAGCAACAATCTAATTTTCTGCTTACATATATATAGTCTTGTCTATATTGATCAGGAAGCAAGTCAAAGAAAGAACTCTGGACTGATTTTTAATTTATGTGGTGTAATAATTAGAGGAATGCTGCTGTCAACAAAGTCTCCTAATTTAAAGACAAAAATACACAACATATGCCATAAAGAATAATGGAACTCATGAAGCCAAAAGACTAGACCTTGATTCAGTGGGAATTATGGGAACAGTAATGGGTGGTCTTATCTTTCTTTCAACATCTATTAAATGTTATCCTGCCTGCCTTTTGGCTGAATTGTTAAGTGTACAGTACCTTTCTAACTCACTAGTTACATCATTTTCTCTATGATCACATATCCATTAGGTATTGTTTTTCTTAACCCCAAAAAGATCCTTTCAGTGACATCATGGAGATAAACCCAAACTGCTGGGCAATAATACTACTGTCAAACAGAAGAACGGTTGTCATTTTTGTATAAATAACACTTAATAAAGAACTATATGAAGTCACCAATGAACTTATATGAGGCAAATTTACAAAGCTCTTAAACAATGGAATAATGTCATAAGGCCATATAAGGAAAAGATCACCTACAAATCAAATTGCCATCCAACACATTTAATATTTAAATAGTTAAATATGACTTGGATCAAAAATGATCCCAGATAGTTAAAGGACTAATCCCATTAATCCCACAGTTTAATGAGGCCATCCCAACCACATGTGATGACCTTGGATGTCTCATGTGGATGCCACACTGCACCTATGCACACTTTATCATGAGCTTTAAACCGACTGTATAGTTTTGTGGTCTTCCAGTCCCAAATGTTTAATTTTCCATTTCCATCTCCTGAAATCACATAGCTGCAAAAGAAGGAAAACAAATTTAAATTATTCACGTACCTTAAACTAGTAAAATAAAGGAGAGCTTATATTTTTAACAATACTCAAAATAAGAGTATGAAGCAGTCTATAATTTGAACTTCTTCATGAGCTACTTACCTAAGAACTAGAAAATTATTTTTAGCAGAGGAGACTGAAGTCCCTCTGGGACTAGAACGATCGAGGGGTTACAGTCTGTCTCTGGACAGTTAGAAACTGCACAGAAACACCCATTTCACATGCAACCAGTGAGCATATCAAACACATTGTACTGTACTGAACTTTAACTATTTTAGCTTCAATATTCTTTGAATACATTTATTATTATTATTATTATTCATTTGAATACATTTGAATCAGAAGTAGGAATCTGAGGCTTAGTTACCATGATAAATATACAAAGCTACAAGGATTTCTGAATTCTTTTTACCTATATGTTTTGACTAAGAATGGGGAAATGAATGCAAATCTTACTCTTAACTGTGACCTAGAAATATTCGAAAGCTGAATTTCTGTTTTCAGCACAGACAAGCTACAGGAGAGTTGCTATGTTGAGCACTGTTATGCAGAATTCTTCTGGTATTCACTGAATCACAGCAGCATGGTGCTACAGCCTTGCTTAGGAAAGCAAAGAGAAAACAAGGCATCGGTGACACAGACAGGGACTTACTAGGTGGTTAAAGGGTACAGGCTTAAGTAACACACAGAATAAAAACAGAAAAGCAAAATGTAATTTTCATAATTGTCCTTGACTTTCTGTCATATCTAGTATTTTGACAGATTACACCGTTTTCATGTAATTACTTATGCCCAAGTGATTTTTGAAGTAGTTAGTTGAACAACATATCATACCATCATATTTGAGTACAAGAAGGGAAGAGTTAAGCTTACCTCATGTCTGGCGAAAAGTCCACCTGACAAGCGTAGCCTGCTACCATATGTCCCTTAAAAATTTTCTTCTTATTTAATCTGAATCTGTTCTGTGCTCCAAAAATTAAGATCTGGTTGTCCATTGACTGGCATGCTAGCCACTTGCCTGTAAAATTCAATAAATGGGAATTTTAGAGAAAGATGAAAAAGAATTTAAGTTTATTTTAAATATGTTGGCTTTCACTATTCTTTTGCTCTCAACTATGTTATAATACTAGAAAACAAAATTTCTATGCCGTCTGTAACGTGTTATAAATAAGTTGTTTGCAAGAGGTATTTTTATCTAAAGGAATGAATTCTGTTCTAGTGTTCTTATTATCATCGAGTACTCGTCATAGAAAAGCTTTTGAGTTTTTTTTAAAATAAGGAATTACAGAAATTCTAAGCTTAATGTTGACAGAATAAGTTATTAATAAAATATACCAAGTGGAATTGATTTGTAGCAAGTATAGACAACAAAACGCCTGGAAAAACAAAACTTATCTGTGATAACAATGAAATAAGATTCGCTCTTATGCTGAAACCTAGGATTATAAACAACAACAAAACTGCACCAAAAGTTTTTTTTTTTTAGTATTTTATTATTTTTATTTTATATGTATAAGTGTTTTGCCTGCATGTATGTGGGTGCACCCACATCGTGCAATGCCGTGGAGATCAGAAGAGGGCTTCAGATTCCCCTGGAACTGGAGTTAAGGACGGTTCGTAGCTGTCATGTGGGTGCCAGGAATCGAACCTGGATCCTCTGAAAGAGCAATCAGTGCTCTTAGCTGCTGAGCCATCTCTCCAGACCCCCCTGCCCAAAAAAGAGGTTCTGAATAACAAAAATGATAGCAACTGCTTCTTAAAGGGGACATTGCTTTTATCTACCTTGGAGTCATCAAAGCCCCCAGACCCTAAATTACAGTATTTACTTGCATCATATATATTTGTAAATATTACTAAAGAAACAGTTCTAAAACTAAGTGATTAAATGGCTTTGTTAAGAAAGGGCTAACAGGTTTTAAAAACCCAATACATGAATATAGAATCCTGGTGACAAAGGATTTAATATGGTTATTATCAAAGCAATGTCTATTTGGTTGCTTTTCTCAGAATGCCAGGGTACTTGATAACGGTCATTAAGATGCCTGCATGGAGGCCCAGATGGATAAACAAATTCTTCCTTGCCTCCTTGTTCTGCCCCACAACAGCTCTGTGAGTTAACACTGGCTTTGAAGTCATGTTCCCAAAACCTCAGATGCTCATGCAGTGCTTGAATACATCAGTATACCTATAGCACAAATTATCTATTACTTAAACAGATAATGGATTATTGACTAAGAAACAGCATTTAAATTATCATTATTATTATTATTTTTTTTGCTTAAGAAAATCTTTTATACATAAATTGCTATGGAATTCTCATTGTGGAGAATCAGACCAAAACTTCCTATCCCTTTGAAAGAAAAGTGATTAGATACTTTATTGAACCTGATTGTGTTAGAAGGAAAATTATTAAAAACCAAGAAACAAAACATTAGCTGTCAGAAATCCTTAGACGGTTAGCTGTAAATCACTGATACTTTTAGTTTTTCAAAACAAGAGAGTGGGTGAGGTGACTCACATATGAAAACCAGCAATTCTAATATTGAAAAGGTTTCCTTATATAAGTATGGCACTGTGACAGACCTCCCGCTGAAAGGGAGCAGTCCAAGTTCTTATGAATCCAGCAATTACTCTGTGTCTTAGAAGCTCCTTTAAGAACACAGTCTATGTACCAACTCACCATTTGGAGACAAAGTCACTGCAGGCATTGAGTGCATACTGGGCTCTGCTATATACTTGAAATCCACAGGGATATCCCTAAAAATTGAAAACAAAGTATCAGAACAAGTCATTTTAAAAAAGCACATTAAGGACAATTACCTCCAAAACAGTACTCAAAAGCAGCTAGCCTTTTCAGTAAACGTTCAGGATAAAGGAAAATCACAAGTGTACTACTTATTAAAGCTTTTATGTTATAAATGACTTTCCATGAAAATTATAATAGTGTCAGTAGTTTTATTTTCTGACTAATAGCTTTAAACTTTGGCCTTTACATTAAAAATCTGTCACTGTCCCAGCACTCGGGAGGCAGAGGCTGGCGGATCTCTGTGAGTTCAAGGCCAGCCTGGTCTACATAGTGAGTTCCAGGACAGCTGGGGCTACAGGGAGACCTTGTCTCAAAAAGACAAAA